AGGGAGTTTCCCATTCTATAAGTGTGCTGCTGGTTTCTACTGCCTATGTGCAGCACCCTGCACTTGTCAGTATTAAAACGCATCCTGTTCATGTCAGCCCACTCCTGTAACCTATCCAGGTCTTGTTGTAGTCTTTCCCTCCCTACTAGTGTGCTCACCTCACCCCAAATTTTGGTATCATCAGCGAATTTAAACAGGTTGCATTTCACCCCATCATCCAAATCGCTGATGAAGAAATTGAACAGCGCAGGCCTCAGGACCGAGCCCTGGGGGACTCTGCTGCCCACTTCCCCCCAGGTCAAATATGACCCGTCCACCACCACCCTCTGAGTATGACCCTTCAGCCAATCTGCAATCCATCTGACTGTGTAGGCATCAATGCCACAGTCGCCTAGTTTTTTAATGAGGATGGGGTGGGAGATGGTGTCAAAGGCCTTGCTGAAGTCTAGAAAGACTACGTCCATGGCAACACCTGCATCCATTGCCTTTGTGACCTGATAGATGGACAAAAATAAGTAAAATCTTTACTATCTGAAGTTATAATTAGCTACCACAAGAATTTTCCTTGTAATTTTAGAGTGACTGATTATAGAAATGATTTCAAAGCTTGCAAGTCAACAAATTTAAAAATAAATGCAATAAAAAAAAATCAATACAATGAAAAGTTACAATGACTGTTAGGAATTGGATTTTTCTGGTTTAACACTTCAGAGTGTTGTGTGAAAGAAACAAGTCTCAATGTTTTCTTCAGAATCCTAACAACCCCACATAATCCACGCTTTATACTTTTTCAAGGCCTTGAGTTTGACAGGCTGGGATGAGATTCTCAGAAGTGTTTTTCCTTAATCAACAGAGGTATAACTGTTGAGACATATAGAAATTTCTACTAACTCAGCAGATATAAATCACTTCTGACACTGTTCTTTTCATTGTGTTTTTATGTCCTATATTACAAAAAATGACATAGGTGAATACCTCCGTTCACATGAGTAATTCCATTCTGTGTTCAATGGGATTACTCAGGATAATTAAGTTACTCATCTGTGTCTGTGTTTGCAGAATTGAAGCTGTAGGGGATCAAAGGTTAGACTAAAAGAAAATATAAATCCTGGATAAATTAACTGATATGCTATAAAGTGCTTTGAAATTCTCTTAAGAAATGCATACTGTCTACTAATAATATTGGAGACTAGAGAAAAATCTCAGACTTAGATGTCAGGTTACCTATTCCACTTATCCTCTTGGTGAAAAGTGCAGAACAAGAAAAATGTAGGATCTGAGATTATAATTAATACAATTTGTTCAAATGCTTTGGTTTTCTAGTACTTCAAGAATGTGAAATAAAATATCTGTCCAGAGGAGATACTGGGTACAAAGTAACAACAAATATTATTATTGTAATTCTAAAGAACAAGGGGGGAATATGAGTAAACAACTTACTTCTGTAGTCATGGACTGTGAAATTTGGTTTGGTGGAAGCCTCTGGTGACAATCTAAATGAAAACCTTTGCCCAGCCGGTGACAAATCTTTGTCTGCAGCACTGACAGTTTGAATTACCTGAAATCAGATTGAAATTAAGTTTGAAATCAATTCACTATTTTAAAAGAAGTGGCTTGTAGAAGTGTAATGTAGTCCACAAATGAAACTGCAGAAAGAGATACTTAGGTAATAAGACATGATAGAGTCACCTTCCTGCTGGAATGTCACCACTCTAGTGCAATGATAGGGAAAGGGAAGAAGGTTGAATGCCACAGTCACCTAAGAAGTTGTCATGGCCTAGTAGGCTGCACTTCGATGTGTTGGCATGAAATTATAAAATCATCACCTAACACAGGAATGCAGTGAATCTTAAATATTTAGTGTTCTTTTTACCGAGGCGTCATAATAATAACAGATAGATAAATTTTAACTTGCTAGTTAGTAATGTCATGCTAGATTTTACACTAAGCAAATCATATGCTGATTAGGATTAATTAAAAAATAAATTAAAATTGAGAGAGCTTTAACATTTATTTTCCAGGTGTGAATGCGTCTTCCCAGGCATATGTTGGAAATGGTATAGATGTGCGCCTAGACTTTGTCTACACAAGAAACTGAACTCATTTAAATAAAATAGCATTTTAATAAATGTAGGTAATTAAATATCCTAAAAATTCCTTTTGCTTGTGCTGCTATCTTGATTTGTGACAGACATACATTTATTATCAACTTAATACTTGATTAATTTTTAAAAACTGCTTTTCATCAGTAGAAAAGCAGTTGATGGATCTCAAAGGGCACATCTACACATTGCCCTATGGTGCACTGTTACTGTGCTGTGCCTTTGTAAGTACTAAAGCATGGTGCAGTAACCTCCCATACTGCTCCATATGTGTGGTGCAGTTATTTTTAGCAGCTACTTCATTATAGCAGTGCACTATAACAGGAGAGTGTGCCACTACAGCAAAGTAGGTGCTGATCGTGTGTAGGCACCCATGGATACTATGTCAGTGTAATACATCACTATGGCAACATAGCATCACATGATAAACTCTGGAGCACTTTGAGGTGGAGTGAACTGCATCTATACATGTGCCCAGGACAACAGCAATTTGAGCCAAAGCGGAGCAGACCCTTGGCTGACTGGGCTGACTGGGTGCAAGTTATGCCCCTGGTCAGAGTCTACACGTGCATTTCAGCACAGTTAAGTACTCCTCCATAAGATAGTAGTGTCCCTGACAGTACTATCCTAAGGCAGGGTTAATTAATTTACTGTGGCCTAATACTGGCTCTAGTGTAGACTGTGTTGCTTTACTGTAGAACGAATTAGTTCACTCCACACTAAAGTGCACACGTAGATGTACCCATAATGTGTGGTAGGGAATCATCACTGGTCATTATGATGATAGAGAAATATTCATTTCTGTTAAGATATAGAGAAATACACAGTGAGTTCTCCATAGACTTGAGTTCTTCCATGGAAACAGCCATAGAATAGAGTACAGTTCCATTTGAATGAGAATATCAGAAACAGACCTTGGTCATTATGCTTTTTCCCCTTTAAAATGGGTATACTGACAACTGGTTTTCACAGACAGCGTTTTTAGGGAACAGACACCTGACAAGTAAGAGTAACATTTCATTGTTTCTTTGAGTTTCTCTTGTCTGTTTAAACCACCTGTTGTCTTTCAGGATGCTCTTCACTCTGCTAGGTTATGCTGCTTAGCACAATGGTCCCCCAGGCCTCTAGGTATTACTATAATACAAATAAGAAGATGCCTGCACATGCCTTCTTTTAATGTGGAGATGCTGTTGCACACAGCAACCACACAGTACTTTTTGGGAAGGAAACCTTAATCCAATGGAAAGGAAAACCTAAATGACCAGAGGTTTCTATTCCATTGCAACCTTCATCTGCCTTTGTACCCAATGGGTATATCTACACGTCACCCTATGGTGATATTGTTACTAAGCAATACTGCACCATACTGTGCCCAACAATGATGTTGTTACTGTGCCTTTTGGAAGTACTAAAGCACAGTGTAGTAACTGCCCATACTGTGCTGTGTGCATGGCGCACAGTTAATTTTACCCACTACTTCACTGTGGCAGTACACTAAAATAAGGGAAAGCGCCACTACAGCAAAGTAGCTGCTGGTCACGTGTAGACTCGTGATCTCTACATTACCACGGCACATTCTACAGTGATGTACTGCATTGCTATGGCAATGTAGGGTAACATGAAGATGTGCCCATTGTGAAGTACTGTTGCTTTATCTGCCTGCTCAGCTGTTGAGGACTTGTATTTCATTTTTGGACATCTCACTTTCAAACTTGTGGCCATGAGTAACCCAACCACAAGTACAAAATTGTGGACAGCATTGCTCTCAAGATCATTGGTAGCACACAAGCCTCTTTACCACAAGACTGCAGTCCATGGGAGGTAATACAAATAAACAGGACTACTAGAGTGAAGGTATGATGATCAGGACTAACATTTTGAAAAGATGATTATGTCCACTGGGGATTCAGAACTAAATTCCAAAAAAACTACAAGGTGATATTTTCAAAGAACCTGAGGGAATTAGTGGCTGACATTTTGGTGGACAAATTCCTAGATATCTCTGAAAATTTCAGGCAGGTATTCTGTTTTGTTTTTAAATGTGCTGTATGCAAAAGGCATTTTTCTATACTGGTTTTTATTCTTATAAAATAAATAGTTAATGTAAAGAGAATCTAAAATATTAACTACTTGAAGCTTGAAATACCTGTCCTGGTTTTGCATTTTCACATACAGATGTTTCATATGGCACTGAAATTTCTGGAGGAAATTCGTTGACATCCAAGACATTTATTATAACGTTGACCTTGCTGGCTAATAGCGGATTACCTACAAACAAGTTTTAGAAAGAAAGAAATTAGGAATGCTATTCCTGTGTGTTTTCAAAAAATGCCCATTATCTGACACAAAACACAAAATTATGACCATAATTATGGTCTCAAGTACACAGCTTCTAAGAATCATGTGATTTGCTTCTATTATGACTCAAACCAAGATAATAATCAGGATGAAGAGTATCATCATTTTGGACAAGATTCTGACCACATTTATTACAATTACACTGAGTGGTATTTACTATTCATGAAGTAAGATCTGACTCAACTTGAGTAAAAATCTCAGAATGGATACTATCTGACCAAACTTTTCTCAGATCAGTTTCTTAAGAATATTACTTGTATATAATCCCCTGATTAAACTGCTATTATTTTTAAAGAAAAAAATACAGGTACAATTTTTACAAGATTTTACATCTTTAGGGTACTGTACCAATATTCATTATTTAGGTGAGCATGTAGCCTATCCACATTTTATAGTTGGGGGAAATTGCACAGTGAGAAGTTTAGGGACTTGCCACAAGAAACAGAATAAGACAATGGCAGAGTTAGTACTAGCACATACAGATCTAACATTTAACCATTACAGACCATGGTTATTCTAGTAGATAACACTGTAACAGATATCAATTTGCAATACATGTAACTGTATATGTATACAAAATAATAAATATTTCAAAATACTGTGCACTGTAGCAGTATATATTTCATTAATAGGTAAGTACTCTTCAACACTTCCAGACTACTTCATGCTACTACTATTGAAAGCAATATCAATATACAAATACTATGGAATTATGTTCAAATTCAACATTTGTGTAATTGCATTCAGCTGAATTCTCTTCTACATTACACTGAAGCACCCATGGACGTAAAAGCAATTGTGTTGGTGAGTCAAAGAACAATTTATCCCTTTGAATTTAAAAGTATGAAGAACACTATGCAGCTACTGTTAACCACTGAAGAATAAATGGGTATATGAAATGAATCATGTCTGACAGAGGAACTGACCATTAGAAATAAGTAATAGAAGAACTCTCTTGAATCTTCAGTCATTTTCAGAACCACACTTAAGTGGAACCATTTAGAGGTGTTGAATTGTTTGACCTACGCGGTTAATGATTTGCTAAAGCTTTTATATTTTCGGGGTCATTAGCCTGCACAGAAGAGTCTAATAATTCAAGTCCTGTATAGACCAACAGCAAATTGCAGCCCACCACCCCCATTACTTTATAGAAGCATGGCAAGAATTGTACCTATGAGAGGAACAATTTCTTCCCTATTATGTGTCCAAGGTGGCATGGCTATGTGATACCCCTTAAACAGGGCTACAATATAGCCCTGAATAGATTTTAAGTTACATTTACTCCTCTGCATATAAAAAGTTACTTTTACAATTTACAAGTAAAGGGTTGTTAATTAATTACCCCGAAACTTCTGTTTGGGATCTAAAAGAAAACAGTTCCTACTTCTGCTGACTCTTTACTAGCCATAAACATTTTCAGATCAAATTCTGTTCTTCATTTCCTTCAATTCATTATCAGCTATATCTGTGCAACCTTACAGGATACACATGAGATTACAGTGATATAAAGAAAAGCATTTGATGCTATAGTTGGGAATTATACAACAGTAAAATGAATCCACAAATGAATCCACAGATGAATTGACCCTACACTGCTAACAAGTAAACAAATAAAATGTTACAGGTAATAATGTTTTATTGCAGTCATTAGAGAGAGCAACACAGAAATCAGATGAAAACATAGGAAGGTGTGATTCACAGAATCACTTTTAGAATCAAACCTAACTTTAAAGAGCTTGCCCCTCTTGCAGTACTCTCTGCAAAGAACATAGAATATTCAGACTGAATAACTCATGTCCTACTTCCCTTGAGTTTATTGTAAGTTTATTTTAAGACAGGCGCCGGACTGTTCAGAAGTGCATCTGCAGCTCAGCTATAGATGAACAATATGAAGGGAGAAGTCATTGCTACCTTTATATCATTTTTAAAGTATTTTAAAATAACATTCTAACAGTGCAGGAACAAAGATCACTCAAATCTATTACAAGAATCTCATAAGTGGAAGCAGCAGATTCATTAAATTATCTAAATCCTGGTAATTTGTGCTGATGCCACAATTTTCCTCTATATATTGTATCCTTATGAAACTTTATTTGGAAGTGCCCCATATAAATGATTTTCTTTTTTGGTTTTCAGTTTTGGTAGTTTAGCATAAAAATTATTGGAGTAATTTTAAAAGACCTAAAGAAGGATTTGACCATCTGACTCCTTTAAAGAAAAAAACACCAATGAGATTTTTTGGGGTTAATTCTTGTACGTTGTTTTTTTAAATACCTGTTTTAATTTCTTACTGACATTCATGACAAAAATATTGGAGGACAAATTCCTCTATCCTGATCCATTTTGAGTAGTACTTATTTTGGCCCTGATTTAATAGGATACTTAAGAATGTGTTTAGCTTTAGCCCCCTGGAAGTCACTGAAACTTCTAAAAGGCTTAAATATGGAAGACAAATCAGTATAGAAAGGTTTGATTATGCTATATAGAAAGAGACTATAGTACTGAAAGGAAAAATGGTCTTGTACTTCTGATACTAGCCAAGGAACTGAGAAGTGAACTCATTTCCTTATTCTGCCTACATTACCTTGGGCAAATCATGGCTGGCACTGATCAGGAAGTAGGGCTAGCTATTATGGGATTAGAAGACCTTGCCTACTTGCAGATATCTAGAGAATCATGTAGAGTGAGTGTCTGGCATCTCTGCATAGGACTCATCTACCCAAAGAGGACAGGGAGAAGTAGGCCTCAAAGAAGAAAGGTAAAATTACATCAGTGGACAAATGCAGCTATATATACATATCACTAAACAATTTGGTTTGAAATGGAAAAAATAAAACCTCCCATAATAGTTAGCTACCAAAGACCATTATAATAAATAATCAATAATTATTATTAATAAAACAATTTTATCCTGATCTGTTTTTCCAATCTATTTCCTTTCAAGATTATAACGAAGGTGCTCTAGTACTAATAATCACATTTGTTAAGGAACTGCTATCCTGGTCAGCTTATAAGGAATCTCTACATGTTTAAATTATTTATCCATTACTTATATATTGCCTGCCACTAACTTGAACTATTTAAATTGCATAATATTTGTGCTATTATTACAAAATTATCTTGATCTCTGAAGAACTACAAGGTAACTTCTACTCAGGATTATTTGCTCTGAGAGAAAAGGAAAGTAAACATTATTGTTAATTGTAAATAAAGCTTCATCTTGAAGCCACAGATGCAAAATGGAAAATAACCTAAAAATTGCTCCAGGGATGAGGCAGGCACAACTGAAACAAAAAACTGAAACTAATACATTTCCAACCTTGATACTTTCTTCTTTTGAAATTCATGGGAACTTTCAGTGCTTGGAGAGCCATGCTTCCCAACCTTGTGCCCTGTATAGCACAATAGTCATGGTGATCCTCATATGTACAGCACCCAGATGACATTTTATGATTCTAGATTCTATAATAATGTAACGAATAATGGGTGTAAAAATACTAACTTGATCACTTAGGTACCTAAACAGGACTTATTTAGAATGCAGGTGCCAAAGTTCCAAAGAATGATCCAGCTGCGCCCTGTTCCCCAGTCAAAACAAAGTAGGTACCTAAACTGAGGCAGTGCCTCCGCTTTTTATTGCATTGTTCTCTAGGGCTAAGTACAGACATTCACGAGGTTAAATCAGGTTCAAAATGGCTGCCTGATTTAAACTTAGCTCGTCCTCATGCGTACCTTACAGTTACAAACCCAGTCTCAGCAACTGGCAATCAGTCTAAACCTCTAACTGAACAAAACTTGCATGCACACAAACCAGTCTAAAAAGTACAGAACCCATTTTAAGGTCAACCTGGATCTATGTACTGTCAGACTCATTTGATTTAGGTCAAACCGATGCATGGGACTTCTGTTCACTTCCCCTGACCAGCTCCAGGGCTAGAAAAACTCAATCACTGGCGTCAGCCCCAGCCCCCGGGCTGCTCTTTTCACACCTTGTTCTCCTGCACTGGTCTATTCTTTGCACACACAGCCCCTGACCTCTGGCCCCTTGTTCCCCCCCACAGTCCCAGTGGGGGGAGAGGTGGGAAGGGTGGGGGTGTAGGTTCACTGGGGGGAGCCTACCCCACCCCACCCCACCCATGGGTCATGCCTAGCCCCCCATCCCCTGGTGTACCCCAATTCCCTCCAGCAACCCCCCAACTACCCCCCATCCTGACTTACCTGATATCAGGCAGACATTTGAATCCATTTAACCTCCCCCTAACACCTGCAAATGTCTGTACTTAAGCCTAGAAGACTCAAGTGGTGCTTCTCAGCCTGCATAAAATTCACTTTAATCCCCTAACCATCTAATTGCTACCAAAAGTTCCATTACAATCTAGGCTGGTGCTTGAGATGGACCTAAGCCCTGGGGGGAACCCAATCTTTTGGATATGCTTGGAGCACACCTAATTTGTACCAGCAACACTATATACAGCTTTTAAAATCACTTGTAGTGGTAGTGGTGTCTACTTCTTCCATAATGACTTACTAGTGAATACACCACAAATAATAGGTACAGCGCCCATCCAGGAAGTAGGAGACATTTCTTTTAGGCTTGCCTCACCCTGGGGAGATTAAAATCTACATCTCTTAATCCTGGGAGACTGCCTTAACTACCAGGCTTTAATACTCTGAACTATTTATTCCATATGTTGAAATTGGCCAGGCAGAAATGCAACAGTCAAATGGCCAGAAGGAAAGCGAGTAAGAAGGACTTTATGGTGAAAGTTCTGGCTTTTGAGCTCATTTCCTAGAACTGCTTATTCATTTACATGGGACAGTCATTGGTTAATAAATGGAAACAGCCTTGGAAGCAAGGACTAGAACTGAGGACATTTACCTCCCAGAAAATGAGGCTACAAAGACAATTT